AAAGCACATTTTAATAGAGAAAAGGATGGGAAAAAAGTATGAAGGTGTTGTAGCTCATTGTGGAGCCCCATTGGGGCAAGGATGGAGAAAAGGGAAAAAGCAGAGAAGGGTGAGAGCTCCAAGTGTTCACACTCATCAATCCAGTGATTCCACTCTGGGGCAGTTAAGCCTAAAGAAATAATAATAAACACAACATAGATTTATGTGCAAAGATAGTTATTACAAAGCTATTTACAACAAAACAACATGGAGACAGCTTAGATATCCAATGATAAGGGTACGGATAAATACCTACGATGTAGCTTCATGGTGCAGTGTTGCCAGCTATTAGGATTATGTCTTTGAAGAAATTTTAGTAAGATGGGATAAAATACAATGTATACATTTATGCGTTTATGTGTATACTCATAGAATACACATGTTTATTAGGCATATGTGATATAATATCAAGTGTCTTAAAAGATAAACACATCTTTTGTGTATTTTCTAGTTTAAAAAATGAATGTGGGGATGGGTGTTTGGTCTAGCAGTTAAGATGGCTGCTTAGGATGCCTGCATCTCACTTTGGAACGCCTCATTTCGATACCCGGCTGTGGTGCCCAATTCCAGCTTCCTGCTAATGGACATCCTGGGAGGCAGTAGCCCAGGTAGTTGGGTCCCTGCCATCTACATGGGAGTCTGGATTAAATTCTGGGCTCCTGGTTTCAGCCTGGCCCAGCCCTACCTGTTGTGGGCATATGAGAAGTGAACCAGTGAATAGGAAGCTCGCTCTCTCTCTCTCTCTCCTCTCCCCCACCCCATCTTCCCTCCCTGTGTGTGTGTGTGTCTATCTTTCAAATAAAAATAAATGTGAATTATTAGAAAAATATAATTGTGAATCTCTATATACAAACATTATTGAAAAGGGGAGATTGTTTGAGATTCCATGGCTTTCTCTGGGCAGGCATTGATAACTGTTGTGTACTGGACCCTTCCTCTCTTAGAAGCAATTTCCATCAACCAAATGACCACATCTGCTTCTGAAAGAAATATCTGGATGTTTGAACTTGAATTTATGGGGCAGTTTTTCTGAACTTAGTCCTACAAGATGTTCCTCGTGCCTCTGAGACATGTTCCTGTTATATGGAAGAGTTGACAGTAACGGGGGAAGGAGACTTGAAAAAAAAAGCCAGATGCATTTGCAAAGGAGCTGTTTTTTTCCCACAGCATTCAAAAGTCTGGCTTCCTGGCACTTGGCTGGGATGCCTGCGGGCTGACAGTACTGTGATTTGGCATCTCCCGAGGTGCAGTTGCGCTCTCGGGCTGCTGAGTTCCAGCAAAGTTCATTTTAAAGTGTGAAACGGTGAGGAAATGCAGTGAGGAAATGCCCAAGCTGCCAGGCGCAGCATGATTCCAACTTTACCAAGTCCTCCTGAACGGGGATTTCCATGACTGGATGTGTGCTAGAGTGCACACACGGGCAGCGCATCAGAAAGGCTTGGCCCTCGCTGCCACCTCTCTCCCTTTTTCTCACAGGGTGAGTATTTCTGTGGGGGGCATTCACGTTTGGTGATGCTCTGCCATACCTCTGCATGTGCCTCCTGGGGAGGCCGGGTGTAGCAGAGAACTGATCTTCCGGTCAAGCTGCTGCTCAGAAGCTGGCGTTGGAAGCAGCTGATGAGGAGCCCAGCCCTCTGATCTCGCCCCCAGGTTGCATTGTGCTGCCCGTGTGTCTCGCCAAGGTCTAGGTCTTCTTCATGCATTTATAGCCTGGTTCCTCTGCAACTGCATGAGCTCCTCTAGGTCAGAAGCCCTGCCTTCTGTTGCATGTTTATGTAGCATGGTAGCTAAGAAGATAAAGGCTCTGCCTGTTTTGCTTCTTACTGTGTAACCCTGTTCATATATGAAAACATTGTGCCTCGGAGTTCTCAACTGTTAAATGGGGAGAAAAACGATACCATCTCATAGAGTGTAAATGAATCAATATGTGTAAATTGATACCATAGTGATACATTTTACAACCTTAGTAAAAGGATTTTTCATTCATTCATCCATTCATTCGATAGTATTAGGACTATTTCCGCCCTCACTACACCCCCATAATTTGTTCCCTAACCTTTACTTTAGGAAGGTTAGGAAGCTATAATCGTAATTGATGTGCCACTGCTATCCCAGTGCTTCCTAAAGCCTTGTCTCTGGATCTTGCTGTTTCTGTTGCATTGATCGAAACATTTGGTGGGACTCCTCATGCTTCCTGGTAAACATAGCAACTGAATGACTTAATTTCCTGTCTCTGCCCCTCTACAGTCACATACCATCCTATCCAGTTTTCTTTTTTCCTTCCATTTCATGAGTATTTCCAATAAGCCATGTACCATCCTGAAGATTTTTCTGATCTCATCGGCTTCCCATAAGAGCCCTGTGTGGGTTACAGACCACTGTCTTCCTCTATCTCAGTGTACAATAGAGGAAACCGGGACTCAGAGTGCTGAGCTGACTTGCCTGTGACCATAGTTCAGTCTGACTAGGGGAAGGCTGTGGACTAGGAGGCAGATGGCACTCTTCTGTTCCACTTCCTTACAAGTCACAAAAGCTGGAAGAGATGTACACAGAAGTGCATTCAGCATTTTTATAGGCTGGAGTCTGTGCAGGGTGCTGAGGACACACAAATAGAGAACGTATTTGGTCAGTGACTTCCTCTTCTTTCGTGTCTCAGTTATTGTTTTCTGTATAAGAAAGCACTCCGAAACTTAGAGGGTTTAAACAATGAGGTATTGCTTCTCGTGATTCTGCCATTCTCCTAGGCTTGCTGTGCAGTTCTGCTCCATGTGATATTTGTCTCAAGCCACTTATTTGGTTGCATGCAGCTGCAAGCTTGGCTCAGGGGTCCAAGATGGCCTCCCTTAGCATGTGCTGCAGTTGGGTGGGGGCCTCTATTGACCTCTCATGACCTCTCATACTCCAGGGTCTCTTCCCATTGGGATTTCTCCAATAAGATTGCCTAGATGTCTTTTTTTTTTTTTTTTTTTGACAGGCAGAGTGGACAGTGAGAGAGAGAGACAGAGAGAAAGGTCTTCCTTTGCCGTTGGTTCACCCTCCAATGGCCGCCACGGCTGGCGCGCTGCGGCCGGCGCACTGCGCTGATCCGAAGGCAGGAGCCAGGAACTTTCTCTGGGTCTCCCGTGCAGGTGCAGGGCCCCAAGGGCTTGGGCCATCCTGTACTGCCTTTCCAGGCCATAGCAGAGAGCTGGATCAGAAGTGGAGCAGCCAGGACTCAAACCGACGCCCATATGGGATGCCAGCACTGCAGGCAGCGGCTTTACCCGCTATGCCACAGCGCCAGCCCCAACATCACTTCTACATTCTGTTGGTCAAAGCAAATTACAGGCCAACTCACAGTCAAGTCTGCCTCTTAATGAGAGGGATGGAGGGACATTTTTGAAAATAATCTACCACATGTACTGTCTACGTGGCTCTTTAGACAGAAGCTGGAAGGCTCTGTAAGTGTCATCCAATTCAATCCCTGCTCTGGGCTGACTGAGTCCCTCTCAGATTCACGCTCTGAACTCTAGACACCAATGTTACGGCATTCCATGATGGAGCCTTTGGCTCCACCCTAATGAGAGGGATCGATGCCTTTATAAAATAGGCCTCAAGAAAGCTTACTGCCATTATGTGAGGACACAATAAAAAGGTGCTGTATGTGAACCAGGAAGCGGGCCCTCACCAGATTCTAAATCTGATAATGCCCTGGTTGGACTTGCCAGCCTCCTGATCTGTGAGAAACAGACTTCTGCTGTTTGTAAGCCACCACTCTATGGTGTTTTGTCACAGCAGCCTGAATGGGAACTGAGAGAGCATCCCAGTTTCACAGCTGTGAAAACCAAGATCTGAGAGATCAAGCTTGTTCAGGCCAGTGTGTTTTGTTTTTCCTTCAGCATAGGATGCCTTGCTATTGAACCCTTCTCTGACTCAGTTGTCCCTGTAAGTTGGAGAAAACAAGGTTGCAGAAGAAGGAGGGGTCTGTTTTGACTTCTTCTATTTCTGTGCCTGGTACCCGGCCCCCGGCATTGAACAAGCGAGCATTTCTCATCACTGCCTCTTCTGCACATTCTGTACATAAAGTGATGCCGGTTTTTACCTCAGGCATAAAAAGTGGGCGCACAGATCTCATCAGGTTTTACCAAATGAAATCCAACACATTTATTTAACATTTTAGGATAGTCTATTACCCTACAATGCGTTTCTCTAAAATCAACAGCTGCTGCAGTATGAAACGTGTTGCTTGCTTTGAAACGAAGCAGTAAGCTGTGGATCATTCGTTTCCCTCAGTATAACCACAAACCTGGAAACAATTAAGAAGTTCCTTTTGTCCAGATCATTAGGATCCTGTCTGGGATTACCTCCAGCCCTCTGGGTGGAGGACAGGTACTGGCTTCGTATTGAAGACGATATTTGTTATCAACTACTGTTCTGGGATCCTTCTCTCCCCTCCCACCCTCAAGAGGGAGATCTGGCTCTTACTGAGCATTAAGGTAAATGAAGAATGCGGTTCTTAGCTTTATGGCTCCTCAAAGACTGTGAGTTTCTAAAGAAGAACTAGTAGAAACACCCTTCTGCTGACTGAATGAATTATAGGTCGAATAAAACCTTGCTTCCCATCCTTGTAGCATTTACTATTTTTTTGCAGATTAAACGAATATTTAGATATTATAAAAAATTTAGAGAAGACATAAGCACACAAAGGAGAAAATACAGATCATTTACAATTTTGCCTTTAGTCGAAACCCCGTCTACATTTTAAGTGTATGTTTGTCCTATCACACATGGTAATAAATCCAGAGATTAAGATGAGACATTTAGATACAAGTGTTTTTCTTTAAAAAGTGGGATGACACTGTAAAATAATTTGGCAGCCGAATTTCTTTGTGTTTTATTTAACTGCAACAAAACCATTTATCCATGTAACGAGATGTCTTTCTATCATACTGGGAAAGTAAATCTTTCTCTTGTTTTGACAGGACAGTGATATCGAAGCTTTGATCAGGTGTTTGGAAAACGTTCTGAGTTGCACTTCTCTAGGTAGGTAAATGTCTTCAGATTCCTGAATATAGCAACACCTATAGATTGCACTGGCATAGCCAGTAAGTAGAAAGCTTGGAAGGAAACTTACAGATATTTCAACCCAAATGTGTTTGACAGATGAGGAAAATGAGGCTAACAGGTTGGGCATCTGGCCCAAGGACCAAGAAACTAAAAAAAAAAAAAAAAAAAAAGAATTGCTTATTATCATTGTTACTGACTTCCCATCTCCAAAACAGAATAGTTGGCACTCGGTGGTCCCTTGTGATTGTCTGGTGGCCTGGCAGTGCATACAGGCGGTGTCACAGACCCTGGCGGAGGAACCTGCTTGCCTCCCTTGCCCTGTGTAAGTGGGTTGCATTCAGTCAAGCTGAGAGCACCTTCCCTCTGAAGGTCACTCAGTTATTGGAAGAGACTTGATCTGAAAAAACAAAGCTGAAATTCCTTTAGTGTTTTCAGCCTCAATAAATGGGATTGCTGTGCTTCAAGGATAAAACCCTATTTCTCAGTTTCTCATATATACTTCTTTTTTTTAATCTGAAAATCCCAACTGTGATAGCTTCTAGTACTAGGCAATAAATTGTCACACATAGTATTCTTACAGGTTCTGGATACAAAGGGCTGAGATAGTTTTTCTTTTAAATGTGCTTTTAAATGCGCAAAATGTGAGTTTTGATTTTCCGAAGTTTTAGTGGCATAGCCATTTCTTATCTCTTCAGAGGAAATGGCAGGCAGGAATAAAGCTGAACGCCTAAGTTTTCAGGTGGGTGAACATCGGCCATTGTTTTATTAGGAGCATTAAACACAGTTTAGTTTTTGTTCTCCGTCCACATTTCCATGTAAGAAACCTCGGGCATAAACCAGCTCTTTGATTTCTTCTCCTGATCATTGCCCTGCAATCTGCTTAATTGTATATCAGTAACACCTGCTAAGGACATGGCATACCGGATACGGACTTGGAGACCCGGAAGTCTTTTCCTTTGACCAAGTCGCTATCCCTGTCTAGGCCCGAGCAGCATGGGCTGCTTTCCTTGTTACCTGGAGTCCAGTGCAGAAGCAGCCTCTAACACTTATTTCAGAATATTTTAAGAGAAATTTTATGAAGTCCCTGCTCCGTCACCAGTTTCAAGCAAAATAGCTCTCAGCGTCCTCTGTTTTCCAAGTCAGTTACCACTTAACCCATATGACTTGTATCTTCTAGAATTCACTACCAGCTTTCGTCTGCTTCCTGTTTCCCTGGAGGTTTATATCTGCTTTATTCCTTTTCTGTCACATTAGTGGGAGGCAATGATGAATGTGTATTTTTATTCCATGTTTCTAATGCTCATTTCTATAAAATCATTCAGTCTAGAAGGAAATTTAGATATCATCTATCCAATCCAGTGTTATTTAATTTTTTTTCTGTTTTACAGTCAAAGCTATCTTTTCTAAGATACAATCTTATGTAGAAATCCAATTTATAAAAAGATAAGACTGAAACTAAATGTGGGAGATGTGTATGGGCAGGAAGGGAGAGTAGGGGGTGAGATTGGAGAGATGAGACAAGTGAGCCACAGACTCCCAGGAAGACCCAGGATGTGGAGCCCCGGTTACGACTGAAGGCAGGCTGCGGGTGAAGACGAAACAGGAGGATGGGGTGACAACATGAATAAGGAGCGAGAGACGCCAAGTCCCTTTCTGTCTGCTGGCTCAGTCAAGCAGAGACACTTGATTTGATTTAGGGGGGCAGTGAATCCAGGAGGCTCTGGATTTGGGGACAGCAGAGACACCAAAGAGAAGGTTGGTGTGACGTGATGGAAACAGAGGGAGGGAGCAAGCATCTGCCTGTTGAATAATGAGGTCCCCAGACAGCACCCCGACTCGGCTTCTGAAACACCGGCGGAGCAGCACAGACCTCTTCAGGTTCAGAAATTGTGGACCCCTTCTGAAGATACCTCTGTGACAGCGTTACCAACCCCAGGGCCCTAAAAGACACTGGCATTCCCCCAACAAACAGCAAGGCTCAGCCCTACCAGCCGACAGTCCCAGGTCCACCAGAAGAGCTTCCACTGGCTTTTAATACTTCCTGCTTCAATATGAACATGTAGCCAGATGGCCCCTGATATCTGAGGAAATTTAACAAAAAAGAGGGAAATTAAAACAAAAACGTACTAAAATTCAGGAAACAGAATATGTCAGGAAGAAAAGCTCAAAACACAGCTACTGAAATCTTACAGGCTATTAAAGAAGATATTACCTACAAGATACAAACAAAAAGGAATATAAGAGCCCAAGAAAGAGCTCTTGAAATGTCATTTTCATAGCAGAAATTAAAAATTCAGTAGAGGGTTTGGGAGGTAAAGTTAAGCAGATTTTCCAGAATAGAATTAATAAATGATAAGGAAGCAAAATGATCCACCTAGGTTTCTTAACATCTAACTGAAAAAAATTCCAGAAAAAGAATATAAAATTCATAAATTTATCAAATAAAGAAGACAAATATCTTGAGAGAATAATAGTTTACTTATAAAGTACCAAGAAAAATAGTGTCTTATTGTCTTATTTTTCAGTAATAATGAAATTTAGAAGACAATAAAGTTTGAATCTAGACTTTTAAAAAAATTTTTATATTTTTTTCTTATTGGAATGACAGAACAAGAAGGTCGATGGAAGGGGGTGCAGGTAGGGAGGAGACTGATTTTCCATCTGCTGGTTCACTCTCCAAATGCCCAGGGCTGGGCCAGGCTGAACCAAGAAACTGGGCATTCATGCTGGGTCTCCCATGCGGCTTGCAGAGACCAAAGCACTTGAGCCTTCACCCTCTGCCTCCCAGAGTGTTCATCAGTGGGAAGCTGGAGCAGAGGTAGAGGCATGACTGGACCCTCACACTCCAATATGGGATGCAAGCATCCTAATGGTGGTTTATCATCTGTACCACAACACCCACTCCTGAATCTAGAATTTTTTATCTGTCCAATCCACCAATCACAGGCGAGCAAGGAATAAAGACATTTTCAAACCTGCAGTCTCCAAATGTCTACCTTCTCGTCCCCATGGCTTTTCTTATGAGGTTCCTAGAGTATGTACTGACCCTAAAGATGTAGTAAACCAAGAAAGAGGAAGGCATGGACTTAGGTGACCGGGAAGCCAACACAGGAGGGAAGTTAAAGGGATTCCCAGAGCGACAGTTAAGGGACAGTCTCTTCACAACAGCTGGCAACAGGCCTGCACAATCCATTCAGAGGGCTCTGGGAGGAAAATGGTTCACTTGCAGGGAGGATGGAATGAATGGATAGCCCACCAGACTCGACTATAAGTTTTCAGTTCCTTTCGAGAATTTAGGGAGAAATCATATAGAAGCAATCAGGAAACTAATTCATGTTAAAAATTCAACGCAATTGTTAACTTTTGGGAAAAAGTGTTTTTTTTTTTTTTTTTTTTTTTTTTTTTTGACAGGCAGAGTGGACAGTGAGAGAGAGAGACAGAGAGAAAGGTCTTCCTTTGCCGTTGGTTCACCCTCCAATGGCCGCCGCGGCCGGTGCGCTGTGGCCAGCGTACCGCGCTGATCCGATGGCAGGAGCCAGGAGCCAGGTGCTTTTCCTGGTCTCCCATGGGGTGCAGGGCCCAAGCACCTGGGCCATCCTCCACTGCACTCCCTGGCCACAGCAGAGAGCTGCCCTGGAAGAGGGGCAACCGGGACAGAATCCGGTGCCCCAACTGGGACTAGAACCCAGTGTGCCGGCGCCGCTAGGCGGAGGATTAGCCCAGTGAGCCGCAGCGCCGGCCCGGGAAAAAGATTTATAAAAGAAAGAAAATATGGGCCTGGCGCTGTGGCGCAGTGGGTTAACACCCTGGCCTGAAGTGCCGGCATCCAACATGGGTGCCGGTTCGAGACCTGGCTGCTCCATTTCCCATCCAGCTCTCCGCTATGGTCTGGGAAAGCAGTAAGAAGATAGCCCAAGTCTTTGGGCCCTTGCACCTACGTGAGAGACCCAGAAGAAGCTCCTGGCTCCTGGCTTCAGATTGGCACAGTTCTGGCCGTTGTGGCCAACTGGGGAGTGACCATCGGATGGAAGACCTTTCTCTCTGCTTCTCCTCTCTCTGTGTAACTCTGACTTTCAAATAAAATAAATAAATCTTTAAAAAAAAAAAGAAAGAAAATATAATCTACATACATTAGGGGCTTAACTGTATACAATACCCCAAAACAGATTTATCTTTTAATTCCATTTTCCATGAGCTTTTTGCAGTACTCTTATATATGTGATAGAGACAAATGTTAAATACCAAATCAATGTTAAAGAGTTAGATATGGTTGAATTTGGGTAATGGAACTTGGCAGTGAGGCAAGGAACTGCTTTTTTGTTCATTTTTGAATTGTAAGCTATGTGAATTCTTAGGTTAGAAATCAATATTTTTTAAAAAAAGATGAGCATTGGAAAGTAAAGAGCCCAATTCTTTTTTTTTTTTACCTTTTATTTAATGAATATAAATTTCCAAAATACGACTTATGGATTACAATGGCTTCCCCCCCATACCGTCCCTCCCACCCACAACCCTCCCCTTTCCCACTCTCTCTCCCCTTCCATTCACATCAAGATTCATTTTCGATTATCTTAATATACAGAAGATCAGCTTAGTATACATTAAGTAAGGATTTCAACAGTTTGCTCCCACACAGAAACATAAAGTGAAAAATAATAGATGATTTTTTTGTAAATGATGATGGAATCAGATCAGACCTATTGTCATGTTTAATCCCAGTGAGAGTCAAGTTGGGAATTGATAATTTCTTTTTTTTTTTTTTACAGAAGATCAGTTTAGTATGCATTAAGTAAATATTTCAACAGTTTGCACCCCCATAGAAACACAAAGTGAAATATATTGTTTGAGTACTCGTTATAGCATTAAATCTCAATGCACAGCACATTAAGGACAGAGATCCTACATGAGGAGTAAGTGCACAGTGACTCCTGTTGTTGACTTTACCAATTGACACTCCTGTCTATGGCATCAGTAAT